CCACCAATGTCCAGCAAGCTCACAGTTCCCTTATTAAAGGTTCTGCACTATAATAACAGCAAAAAATACACTCAGATAATTCAGAAAGAAGTTACATGTATCCAAAGATGAGTGACTTGAATATGACTGCACTGGAGCAGGCTGCCCAGAGAGGTGATGGAATCTCCTTCTCTGGAGATACTTACAATTGATCTGGATGCTTTTCTATATTTCTATGTCCCTACTTACTGTAGGGAACTGCTTTAGTAGGGGGTTGGACTCAATGATCTCTAGAGATTCTTCCCAACGCCCACACTTCTGTGATTCTGTGATTTCTGCATCAGCTACATCTTGCAAACTATTCTGCAACTTGCCAGAAAGTGTTTGATGTTTGGATTGTGTTTTCAAATGGAGTATAGGACGGTAATGGGGAATGTATCTGACAGTAGCTGGATGTAATTTAAAGATGGACTGTAGCCATGTAATTACATACCAGATTCGGGTATTGGCTCATTTTATTATTTTTATTCCTGGGCCCAGGAAAGGGATATACACATTCAGCCAGAGCTGTTTTTCAAAAGGACAGTTTCAGTCTGAAAAGAGACAGGCAGTTTAACATCTGAACCACTTGGTCACTGTGATACAGCAGTTTGCAGGCACCCTTTAAAGATGTTAGCCACAGGTTGTATTAGTTAGTCCTCTGTCTTTAACTGCTTCCCAAAGAGAGGATAAGGGTGGCAATGATTACCATTCACTCACATGCCTATCCTAGTTTATCTCAGCAGTAGATAGCAAAACAAAGCAAGAAAGAAATTCCTTACTCTTCCTTACCATCTTTTTTCCTCTTGTTGAACAAACAGAGCCTGTTCTTAATCACCGCATGTTCTTGGGCCCTGTATCATCTTCTCTGTGTGTCCTCTTGCCAGGAAGCTTCTTCCAATGCTTTATATAGCACAGGCTGAAAAACGTCATGCACCAGATCTCTAATACTTCTCTGTTAAGAGAGTGATTTATTAAGGTGTTCAGAATATGACCTTCATTCCAACTTTGTGCATAGAGATTGATTTTCTTTTGTCTCTCTAAAGCGGTCCATCTTGCAAAATTTTCTTATTTTCCATCCCTCATTTATCCTCTAGCTCACTGAAATCCAGACTGAGGATTTCTGCCTCAAGTTGTGATTTGGAAAGAGGTACTGTGCAACTCATTTTAAAGCTGTTTGGGAAGACTGCTGTTGGAGTAAGGCTCTGCATTTCCTTGGGCACAAATGTCCAGAAATGCTGAAGAGAGACCTCAAGCGACTAGTTAGAAGATACAAAATTCTGTGGCCCTCAAATTACAGTATCTCTTTCAAATGACAGCTCTTCTAGAAACAGAGATCTCCCAGAGCTGTTCTGGGGAATTAATTTCAGTAATGTTTTTGTGCAAAGAAGGAGGAGAGCCACTGGCTGATTTGTCACTTTATAAGCCTGGTACTGGTGTCATTGTTTAGCATATCTTGCTTCCCATAATCATCTTTTTCTTCAGAGTTGGGCACCAAGAGCATGTTCTGAGCAGTTCATACAGAAAAACTACCAAAACTACTAAAACCTCAGAATAAAGTGATATGCTTTGCCTCACAATCAAAACTTGTGCAGTTTGTTGTATTGTAGATGCATTACTGAACATGAGATTTTTTTCTTCTGTGGGCTCTCCAGCATTTTTGCAGATGGCTATGCCTGAGGTAACATTCCTGTTTGCTGGGCTGCTGGAATTTGGCTACAGTCCTTAACAAAACAGTTTGTTTTGGACATTTTTGATGTATGTACAAAATGCATTTGGAGGACAAATTAAGCAGAACAAAGACACTGGAAGTCTAGGTCATAAAACAAGTCTTTCTCAGCTTTGGTTAATATTGAGTGATGATTTAGTTTTCCCATACTGCTTCTTTTTCCTGCTGAAAGATGTCAAAGACCAGATCAAAGTACCTAAGAATGTCAAATACAGATGTGATGCCCCAGTGATCGCCAGTGCTGGAAATCAGCAGCGAGACTCAATTGTTGGATCTGCGTGTAAGTAGCAAATTAGTTTAATTAGTTGTGGCACCATCAGAGAGGTGGATGCTCCCTTCTCACCTCTCACACCATGACACCTAAAGACTAGCAAATGGAGGCACACAGAGCTGTGCTGAATTACAGCAGATTAGCAGAGATGCTCCAGTCCCCGCTTAACCACGCGAACTCCCATTTATGCATGTATTAGGTTTTCACTGCCCATTGCCTGCCCTTCTCCCCCCTCTGCTTTTTCATGTTCAGTGGATTCTCCTCTCTGTGTCTCTGCCTCTTTTTCTCTATTTTTTTCTCTCTATTGTTCCCCACGTCACCAACTGTCACTCACTTCATAAAGCCGTCTGGCTCGGAGCTTAAATATTGCACGGCAACTAAAACCTGCCATCAGAGCCAATTGAGTCATATCTGTTCAGTCGTGCGACAAGATTGGGACTTTTAGGGTAGGGAAGGAGAGAGACAAAAGTTCACTCTTCACTGCAGAGTGCCAAGAGAGGAGGGGGACACAATTCTTCGGTGGAACCTTTCCCAGTGGCAAGTTACTTGCTCAATGTCCTTAATCTTTAGAGTCTTTCTTGCTGGTAGTGTGCTCAGATTGCAGCATCTGGAACTGCTGGGTGGGGGTTTGCAGTAAGCCCGTGCAAGTTAGGGACATAATTAGTCTGTCAACTCTGAGTGAGCTTAGGCAGTCTTCTCTTTGCCTCATGACAGGCAATTTAAGGGAAGAGGGGAATGCCTAAATTTATTGCTTTCCTCCTCCTTTTTTTTCTTTTTTTTCTGTGAGACTGGAAGAGCTGTGATTGCAGGTGGAGTTTGAATTGACTATACTAGTCTTCTCCAGTCCACCCCAAATTTTTCCTTGCAGCTGAAGCAGTGAGCAACCCTGGGCCAGCTCTCTTGTAGAAAATAGATTGGTCATGACAGAGTTTTGAAAAATGTGACTAATTCAGAAAGAGTTTTGTCAGAGGTAGAAAGCTGCAAGTGAAGCATCTGGTGGAGTTAGGAAACACGTTTCTCTTTTGCAGTGAGTTTTCTGTGTGATAAGGTTTATCATGTCTAGAATGGCACTCTTCCATGCTGCAATGGAAATGATGAACTGATAGCTGTGGATATCAGTGTGACTCACAAAGAAAGAAAGGGATGTAGTAAACTGTGGTGTTTGGGGGACAATCAAGCTAATATTGTATATAGTGATGTTTTCTAAGGAGTTGCACATGATTGGTTAATGGCTGGTATATTCCGTTCTGTGAATTTGCAGAAAGAGAATGTTTAAATCAGTTTAGATGATGTATGTAAACAGCATAATCTTCTGCTAGACTTGTTAATGTAAGTGCTGACATTAACACACTCCTTTACACAACTTTAATGACTGACAAAGTAGCAATTTTCTTTGGTGATTAAATTATATGTCTGCCACTTCTGCATGCAAGGAGTTTGTGCAAACTGAAGAGCTGCATTCTGCTCTTTATTTTTTAACATAGATGTCTGGGCTTAACATTTCACAGTGCTTGAAGATGAGAATAATGAGTCCAACTTGTTTTAGAAAAATCACATCACAAAGATTTTTTGGTTGAAAATTTGTAAAATCCCCAGACTCAGAACTCTCAATATTTTGTGTGTTCATCTATGTGTGAATATGTACGCACAGTATTTGAAACAGACTGGTATGCATCGGTGTGTCGTAACATATGGCATTACAAATATATCCCTGTGCTATCTGAAGGAAGGAAAGAAGTTGAGATACTCAGATTTCCATGCTGATGACTGTACATTCTCCCAGCAACTGTATATGTGTGTCCGCATCTAGAAAACTATAGCTGGAGGTAGCTTCTAAGAGATGAACTTTTAGATCCCTGTGAACAGCTATTTTATGATTTATGTTACCTGTTTTTCTTGATATTGTCCACAAGTTAATCTTTTTGGATCACTGTAATATTTTACATTCCTCAGAGCTTTCGTATTGCTGCAGTACATTAAATCAGCCAGTCCCAAACAAGTTTCCTCTTCTCTCGTTTTCCTGTACCTGAATTATACACTGGGAAGTTTTGGATATGCAGGATGAAGTCCTGGCCAGGAATAATCTCTTAGCATGCAATAATATTGAGAGATGTAATGTTTGACCTGCATTACTTGAAAATTAACTACTTTATTAGCTTTCCAGTAGGATATCTACAGCTGGCTTACAGCTTTGTGTTAGCCTGAGATAGTAGCACTGATGTTTTACAGAGAGAAACTAGTGTCTGAGGTCCCAATGACAGATGTTCATGTTTCTCTCCAGGTTGGTTCCAATGCCAGTGAAGCAGCTGACTTCAGAACTGGATACAACAACTCCTAAAACACGAAATAATTTTACAGTATAGAAAAACTAGTATATATGGTAGTTATTAATCTTACAAAGTATTACTAACGTAGTAATGGTGTTACTATTGCTGGTATTACCTAACATGGTGATTCCTAATGTGGATTTACTATATGCAACTGTAGAAAACCCATGTTTGTATACGTGCAAGATGGGCACCAATTCAAGATCTGTTTGACCCCTGCACAGTTCTGCTGAAGTTTCACTCATTCTAACCACTGCAGCTCTGCATGCTGATAAATCTGTTCCACTGTACTGCTGGCAAGTGTTTGTACGTGTATAAAATCTAAGCAGGCACACACAACAGAGCTTAGAAGAGACCACAGAAGACTACTATCTGGAAAAGGAGTTAAATACACTCCTTGGCTCAAAAGTAATTGCTCATTTAGAGCCAGGGAAGAATGATTTTGGCAAGCAGTTTGCTCTGGCTTTCCAACCCATCTCTTGCTAATAAATCATTGCAATCAGAGCAAAGAAGCAAGCAATCTTCTTTCTGTTCTCAAAGCATATTAGAAAAATACTAGTTGAAAGTAACAACAAGCATCAGTGGGAAAATGTGAAATCTTTTAAATTTAGCATAATTTGTCATCATTCTCTTTCTTTTTTCTTTCCTTAGACAGTAAGAAATGGGTGACTGGAGTTTCTTGGGGAACATTTTAGAGCAGGTGAACGAGCAGTCCACTGTCATCGGGAGAGTTTGGCTCACAGTGCTCTTCATTTTCCGCATCCTGATCCTGGGAACAGCTGCTGAACTAGTATGGGGAGATGAACAGTCAGACTTTGTGTGCAACACCCAGCAACCTGGTTGTGAGAATGTCTGCTATGATGAGGCCTTCCCCATCTCCCACATCCGGCTCTGGGTCCTACAGATCATTTTTGTATCCACGCCTTCGCTAGTGTACTTTGGGCATGCGGTGCACCACGTCCGCATGGAGGAGAAGAGAAAAGAGAGGGAGGAAGCTGAGAGGCGTCAGCAAGCTGAGGTGGATGAAGAGAAGCTGCCCCTAGCTCCAAATCAAAACAAGGGCAACAACCCGGATGGGACCAAGAAGTTTCGCCTGGAGGGGACCCTCCTGAGAACCTACATCTTCCACATAATTTTCAAAACTCTCTTTGAAGTGGGATTCATAGTTGGCCAGTATTTCCTGTATGGCTTCCGCATTCTCCCCCTTTACCGCTGTGGGCGGTGGCCCTGTCCCAATCTAGTGGACTGTTTTGTCTCCAGGCCTACAGAGAAGACTATCTTTATTATGTTCATGCTCGTGGTGGCTTCTGTGTCCCTCTTCCTCAACCTGGTGGAGATCAGTCACTTGATCCTGAAAAGGATCCGGAGGGCTTTGAGAAGACCAGCAGAGGAGCAAATCGGTGAGGTGCCAGAGAAGCCCCTCCATGCTATTGCAGTGTCCTCCATCCCGAAGGCCAAAGGCTACAAGCTGCTAGAAGAAGAAAAGCCAGTGTCCCACTATTTCCCTCTCACAGAAGTAGGGGTTGAGCCCAGTCCCCTTCCATCAGCCTTCAATGAGTTTGAGGAGAAGATTGGAATGGGGCCATTGGAAGATCTCTCCAGGGCATTTGATGAGAGGTTGCCATCGTATGCACAAGCAAAGGAACCGGAAGAGGAGAAGGTAAGAGCAGAGGAGGAAGAGGAACAAGAGGAGCAGCCAGCACCTCAGGAGGAGCCAGGGGTGAAGAAAGCAGAGGAGGAGGTGGTGAGCGATGAAGTGGAAGGGCCTTCAGCACCTGCTGAACTTGCCACTGATGTGAGATCCCTCAGCAGGCTAAGTAAAGCCAGCAGCCGGGCCAGGTCAGATGATTTGACTGTTTGAGGATGCAGGATATGAGGAGCATATGAAAAGAAAAAGAAGAAAAAGAAAAGGAGAGAGAAAGAATCAGAAGAATTTTAAGCAAAGTGCTAAAATGATCATTTAAATATTATTTCATCTTGAGATTCTCAACTGGAAAGGTACTATTGTGGTAACTGTGCCTTATTTGCCCTATATGTCCATTTGAAAAGGAACATTTTCCGTTTCTACATGCCAGCTCATTTCTTACAGTAATATCTACATTGTCCACATAAGTGATGTGTTTTAAAACCTAATGTGGCAGTGAAACCCAAATGTCACCACTGTGAATGTACTTACTGGAAGCTTCGTGTTCCACATTTCCTTAGGAATGTGGGGAGGATCTGTCTCATGAGCCATTTAAGGGGAAGACTAATAAACAACTGTATCTAGTATTTCTTTTTCTGTTTTCACCTATGGCATGCAGAGCAGATCTCCCCTTCACTGTTGGCATGGATTTGCAATTATTTAATTCACAAAGTGAATTCTGTGTTTGGCATTGACACCAAAACAGTAAGCACTATTTCCCCCTCTTTATTGAGAAAGAAAAGACCAAAAATATCTATGATTTCTTTGTGAATGTAAATTTCAGTTAGGTAAAAATATTTTATTTTCCCTTTGTCAAAAACATTTTTGCTCTTTTAGTGACATTGACAGTGGGCAAGGCTAACTCTAGCTCTCTCCTAGGACTTAGCAGATGCTCACAGATGGATTATTTGTTCCCAAGAGAGTTATCCAGCTCCAAGCTGAGTACCTCAGAGCACTGGAAAGAAAAAAATGAAGTCATATTTTTTACTTATAATCCAGTGACGTAAAGATCTGAAACTCAATTTAGCAAAGCAAGTGTGGAAGGGTTTCTGTGAAAGAAGGAACAGCTACAGTTCCCAGAGCATGAAACCAAATACAAGCCTTCACAGCATGATCCTGACATGTGCTCAGTTCTTGAAGCCCCAAGGCTTGCAGGCACTCAGCAAATCTCAGGTACAGCACCCTGAAGACACCTGTGAATTTAAACTATGACTCTGAAACAAAACTGATTGTTCAAGTTTGAAAAGTCTGAAATGATAATTCTGACATCCTTTGTTTTTAATTTGACAGACGGGAGCCATCCAGTGGCCTACTTCGCTATTAAATGCCAAAGTCTCAAATAAAACAAGGCCTTTCAAAAGATCTTTCAGAGTAGGAGAGAAAGGTATCATCTTAGCTTATATCTTTTAGATCTTTTTGTGCCAACAGGACTGTGCAGAACTCTCATAGCCTCAGTAAATCTTTTTAGTTACAAAAGGAAGAAAAAGATGTGCTTGTTTAAATGTCTGTGGATTTCTACCTTCAGGATTGCAGCAGCGCCTTTGGGCTGGGACAGTGCAGCTATGCATTTAAAGCTTCAGGTTAATGGCTATGTCCCCTCTAAAACTGAGCCTTGTGTCAGAAAAGTGCAGGTATGCACTCTCATCTGCTCTGCTCTGCAAACCTCAGACCCTGCCAGCTCAGCGAATTCTTTCTGCTGGGCTGCAGCCCGTTCCATTGTTCCCAGGGCAAGCTCTAATCCAGATCAGGAAAAAAAGCAGTCTTTGGCATAATGCATATAACTCATCCTGCCATTAGTTAGAAAAGACCCCCTGCCATCTTCCATTGTAGCAGGGCTGACCCAAAGCCCATTGAAGTTAGCTAGGTGTCTGAGATAGATGTCCTAGGCTTGGGCTCATACCCTCAGTCCTGTCGTCCTACACCCCAGCCCAGGCAACCATAGGTACACTCAGCTCTGTCACTGATTAACCTGCTTGGTGGACTTCATGTGCCTTGTTTTGCAGCCTTCGTGGTCTGGCACAAAGTTGGCTGGGCTTCACTGATGCGTGAAGTAAGCTGTACATATGTATAAAGTTTGTAGGGTGTGTTGGGATTCTTCAGCACCACAGCGGTGCCACATATTTTTTTTTTTTACACTATTAATCCTTTTGCTCCTCTTGGGCCAGTGTATTTTCCCACGGTTTGCAGCCTGTTGACATAATCTTTGCTTCCTTGACAAAGGCTGTTAGGTTTTTTTAAGAAACAATTCCTTGTGAAGGAAGACTGGAAGGTACTTCCTCAGTTCTGAGAAAGAATATGAGAAAGCAAGATATGTGAAGGAAAATGCGGATGGAGAATTTGGAGGCTACCATCTGTCCATTCTCTCAATACAGAAAGAGGAGAAGAGTTAGCACCAATGAAAGGCGGATGGCAAAAGAAAAACGAGGAAAGAAGTCTTCAACAGGAAAAGATTCCATTGTGCCCAATACACTACTAGAATCCAAGAAAGAGCAAAGATTTAGATGAATAACAAAACCAGCACATTTATACTATATGGGATGTATTACTTTTTTCCTCCACAGAGAAGATATAATGGAGTTTTAATAGTTTGAAACATAGTAGAGTTCACTTGAACTGGAAAAACCCTTTCCTGCAGGTGAAAAAAAAGAATCTGTAACTGTTCAGTGTGAGGTATCTTCCACCTTACTGAGAGCATCTGACCCTTCTGCATAACAATGTACTGGACTAGATGAACCACCTCCCATCCTTGTTTACTACTAATTACTTGACAAGTCCTTTTACAAAGCATTTAGATGACCATCTTCATTCCTGACCTCTGACATGCACACCTTCTTTAGATCATTGGACTACTTAAAGATGACTACTCATTAATTAGAGGTATGTGGTTCATAATATGGATGTCAGAGAATCCAGTCTTCAACTGTAAGATGTTGAGGACATCATTCTTTTTCACTGGAGTGCCTCTGTAGAGTACCGTACATGCAACATCCTGAACAGACACTGCTGTTCTTTCACTGCTGCTGCAGGAAAGCTCATTTCTTCCTCCAAGTCATGACAGTGCAATGAATGAAGTTAATGTTTTCCTCCTGCATCCTGTCAACTGCTAGTTGATTTTTTTTTTCAAGCCGGTTTTCAAGTACCCTGCCAAGCTGCTGAAGCCTCCAAGTATGAGCCATGGCATCAAAGCAGCGCTTTTCAGCTAACTGGGCAGGGAACTAACAGTCAGGTTGTATGGTATTCAGCCTCATCTCTGCAGTGAAGTCACTGCTGGGACTGTCAGCAAGTCATTCTTCCCTCTTGTACGATTGGGAATCATTTTCTACCTCACGAAGACGATGTGAGGCTCAATATATTTTGTTAGTAATAGGATGGGAGGTCCTGGGAAGGAAGGCCCTACAGATGAGCAAAGGATTATTTCTGGATGTGATAGCCTTTAAATGTGTTTTATTCCCCCCTCAATGAGTCGAATTTAATTGTTTATTCAGGAAATTCCTAGTGAAGTTGCATAACAGCCTCAGAGCTGTGGATTCGGTGTATTAAAAAAAAAAAAGTAAAACATATATATAAATAAATGTAAAGAACAAGGAAAGTTATCTTGGGAAGTGGACACTGGACAATTAGAGCCATGCTTGGATCATTTAGGGGTGTGTGGTATTATTCCCTTAGCTCCCTGTGCAACTAAATCATTAACTGATCACATGGCTCTCTGCAAGGAGCTTAGGATGCAAGTGTCAAACTCACCAAAGAAGGTTAAAATAGATGAGAACGGTAGTATCTTAGCTGATATTAGCATGTGGGAGTTGGTGTTCTCTAGAGTCTAGAGCAGTGGACCTAGGATAATGATCTTAGATTTATTTCCAGCTCTGCTACTGACTTGCTGTGATAATCACTTTACCTCTGGGTACCTGTTTTTTCCACCTGTAAAATGGGTGTAAGAATTTCCACCTACCTCACAGGGATGTTGTGAGGCTTCCTTAATTCTGTTTGTAAAGTAAGTAGGAATGATCTGATGAAAAGCACTGCTGAAATGCATTGTATCCTTGTTATTTCCTGCCAGAACATCGAAATTGGTTAACATATGACTCCTTGACCAAAAGGGCAGTAGTGTGAAAATCTGAACACTGCATTGCACTGACATCATTAACGCAGATGTGGGTTTGCCACGAATGGAGAAGACTTTATTGACTCCTCACCCCTTTCTCCCATCTTAACATCGGTTTGGCCATTTGAAGCTGGAGGTGGGGTTACATGGACCACTCTTGTCCATCCCAGCATCTGTTCTGTGGTAATATTTATGCTTAAATAAGCTAGTTCTTGGAGGGAGGTGCAGGTTGTTGGAGCTCTTTTAAAGGTGGAGCAATTGGCTTTGCATCTGGGGGAGGGCTGTATAATGTACAATATGGCTGGGCTTCTGTTTTAAATCCCTCAGTGCAAACTCCAAGTGAGCTTTTCAGAATTTCTATGGAAAAAAAAACCTCTATAGAAGAGTTGACAATTGCTTATAGCACACAGAAAAAAAAACCAACAAAAACAAAATAAGAAGTGACCATGTAGATGTAAAAACATAAATTTTTATGCTACACTGATTATTTCCAGTAAGTGAGACAGATCCAGCAGTCTCTTCGTGATGAAAAACAGTGATGTATAGATTCCTTCTCCTGTAGGATAGGAGAATTTGAGGGGACCTCTGCTCTCCAGGTCAGTGTGAACATAGAATCTACTTGCTAAGGGAAGAAAGTCCAGCTTCTCCTGCTACTCAGTAACTCACTGACTCTGCATTTTTTCATTTAAACAGCAGCCGTGGTACTCGATGAAAAAAAGTGGCAGCTTGCTGTTTTGTATAGAAAATGGCTTTTCAAGTTGACAACTGAAAGTAATCCCAGCCTAGGCATAGTTTTGTTTAGTAGACAAGAGCATCCATGAGAACTAGACTAAAGCCTTCCTATAAGCCTAAGGCTGTTGTGACAAAATGGCATATGCTGCCAGATTTCCTGAGGGCCAGGGCTGGATATCAAAATCAGGGGAGTTGTCGAAGTATTGGAATTTCTTTTTTTCCCCCAAAAAGAATGGTACTACCATTTCTTTGTCTCTGCATGCGATAGACTTTTTAACATGGCTCAGGGAAGGAATTTTGGCAACACCAATGCTGATTATATAGCTGAGTAGCAACCATGACAAATAAATGCATATTTATTTGCCAATACATACCCTGGCACACAATTCTTTCCTTGTGACTAGCTTGGAATACAAGTATTTCAATAGAAGAGGCAAGACTTGTGTCCCTGTCAACAATTCAGATTTTCCCAAGACACTTTTTGAAGCCTAGAGAGGAGAGAACTAAGGCGACAGGGAGCCCTCACAGCTGTCTTCAACTAAGTGGTGGGGAGTTACAGGGAAGATGGAGCCAGACTATCAAGAGGTACACAGCAAAAGACCAGAGGCAATGATCACAAGGAGCAGTAAGGAAAATTTTGACTAAAAAATTCTGACAAGATAAAATTGTTCAGAGAGTGAGTGAGCAGTGAAAGAAGTGCCCAGAGTCATGGTAGGCACTCCATCCTTGGAGTCTGAAGCCTGACTGGGAAAAGCTTTGAGCACTTTGGCCTGACTTTGAAACTGTCCTTGCACTGAGCATGAGGTTAGACCAGCTGGTCCATTTCAGCCTCAACCGTGTATCTCATGGATGGCTGAAAGCAAAGTGAAGCCACTGTGTGGTGAAACAGCTGATCTGGGGCATTTTCTGCCTCTCTGGGGTGCTCTGTTAGAGCTTACTTAGATCGTCTTAGCTGGCAATGCCAACTAACCAGGCACTCTAAGGGAGCCTGATGCATAAAGCACTATCAACCAATGTCTGGTAGATAGAAAAGCTGCTTGGGGGCAGAAACATGTTGTGTAACTGGTTTGGAAAGAACACTATAAATTAAAATTTATGAGTAAGCTTGTCAGCTGAGAAAATCACAGAAATAAAAGGGGTTTAGGTATTTCCAGCTCCCTCTCAGTCTCAGCTGTGACTTTAAATCCATCTGAAAATGTAGAGGACTGCATTTTAAAGTTCTGTCAACAACAAAAAAACCCACACAACTGCGCTTTAAAGCTTGCTGATCTGGGATGAAGCAGAAGTGAATAGAAATGGTGATTACAGAGCTATTGACAACAT